TCATCTAGTGCTTAACGCAAAAGTGTGCAAAAAATGTCTATGTTCATAATAGTGCAGCACTTTTGTGCCTATAGGTATAGGCATGCCATAGGCACTAGTGCCTGGCATCGTGCCTAATGTGCCTGGCATGGGCATTTGCAGAACCCTAGTTACTATCTATAAAATAAACATTTATTATTAAAATTAAAAATTAATCGCAACATTATAGGTAAGATAATCATCACCTTAACGTTAATAAAATGAAATATAATGAGTAAAATTGGTTTTATAAAGTGCATCGTCATATATTGACTCACGTGTATTTTTTCTGATTCTGAAAGTTCTACGTAGTTTTTCTGCATACAATATATATATACATGTTGAATATCCTTATACTAAACTTACTCAGTGTTCGATCCGGATAAAAGTTTTTGATGTTCCATTAAACCTACAGCTTCGTCAACTCACATAATTGACCTTCATTTAATTTCCTCAATTTCCAAATATATTGTTCCAACACCAGCGTTTATGTGGTCATTTGGTAAATATTTTCATCAAGTCATGAGGCACCCAGTAGAAATATGGGGAAACCATTATCCTAGGAATAAATTCATGCTTAACTTGTATTTGATCGCGGTGCTGACACTTCAAGTTATGAACCAGTTGTGAGAAAAGTTGTTAGAGTATTGACTTCACTAGAGGTCTGTATATGAAATAATTTACCCTCTTTTTTTTAATTATTGATTTCATATAAAAAGATCGAAAGCGCGTTTTTATCCAATGAATCAACCAAATCATTTATGTACAACATAATTGAACAACTTCTCGAAGATCTTAACAGTTATTGCGAATGTCAAATACCTATTAGTAAGCTTTTTTTTTAATGACATTATAAGTGAGAGGTTGGATTAACTTTTTTATTCAAACTTCTTTATTCAAACAGACTCAGCAAATACGATTAATCTGAAGTTGTTTCCAACATATCGAAATCCACCACCAGTATATGATTATCAAGTACCAATTTGTACCGTTAATCTTAAAGCATGGATGGTAATTGGGATATTACCATGAAAAAGGTTACACAATATCTTATATATTTTATTTGTTCGCAATTTTAAGTTAATTTGAGTAAAAAAAAAAAAAAAAATCTAAATTTTTTTTTGTGCATTTTTTCAAAAAAGGTGGCGAAATCTATTAATGGCATTCATCATGTTAAAAAGATTGCTGAATTAGCTGATGTAGATTATGGGCTTGCTCGAAAGTGCATGGAACACCTTTTGTAAGTTACTTTATTATCGGTATATTTTTAAGATTAAATAATATGTTATCATCCTAACACATTATTTATTTTTTTACAGATACTATGGATGTATTATTATGGTTGATATCTTTCAGGTGATTAAGTATATGTGACATATATAATGACAGAAATAAAGGTTCTAAATTTTTTGTGACACATTAGTTTTTAAATGTATATGCTGTGAAGTCTGATATTACAAAAGTAATCGAAGATGAAACTATTCAAAGTGAATGTCTGTCTTATGTGAGAAAACGAGGTAAAAAATTATTTGAAAAGTCTTTAAAATAATTTTTATGAAAAAAAAAAAAGTTTCAATGATTCCTAAATTTTAGGCAAAATACCACCACTATTTGCAAAGTTATTTTCACTTTACTGTCAATTGAAGCATGGATCAACTCTTAAAGAATGGATTCAAGAAAATAAAGAAGTTACATCATTGAATATTGACATTCGGTAAAATTTTGTCTTTATTATTTTATTTTGACGTATATCATTTTGTGACATTCAAAAAAATGACATCGGTATTTAATTTACACATTCTGAATAAAGACGATTCATATCTTTCGGCATAATTAAAAGATTTTTATACCGTGTTCATAAATATCCTATTCTTCCTGAACCTAGTAGACAACGAATTTCACTACTGAAACAACTATGCGGGTATTAATTAATTATTACATATTATTATTT